AAGGGAGGCGTGGCCAACTAAAAAACGTTACTCAGTCCAAGGGCAGATAGGCTGTGTTAACCCAGCATTGGACTCTCCGAGCAGTGCACTGGAGAACTACCTGTATTTTCACTGTACACTGTACACTATACACTGTAAACAAAGTGGTGTTTAACAATGTAAAATTAATTGTATGTTCATAACTAAATCTACACCTTCACTTCCATTCATCAACTCTATTCTACATGATCTGACCACTTTCACTGAGTTCTATGCACTTTACCCGCTTCTCTTAGTTTTACAAACTTTATTTGTATTTTCTTTCATTCTCTTTACACTATACTCCTCTAACACACCAAGTCACTATTTTCATATGTCATGGTCATCAACAGACAGACCCACAATATTAGTCTCCACCATGTATTATGACTTCAGTCAATCAAGACATTTGCCCCAAATAGGCTCATGCTGCTGCAGGCAAGCCAGGATCTCTAGTTCAGAGCTACCTTGCAAACCAATATTATCTTGCCTACATTCTGCCACACTTGGATGTGTAGGCATTGTGCTGACATGGCTCAGGATTCCCTCCATTTAAATATAGATCCGTTTCTGTTTTTGATTAAACTCTGTCTCTCATATTATTGTTTGGATAAACTCGGTTTTGCAGAAGCCATTTTTGAAATGCACAACTGGAAACAAAACAGGCTCAATTTACTTCATGTTCTACTTGGCAGTTCATTATTTTTTAACAAGGAAGGTTGCTTAGTGATCTTTCTGATCCTTAGCTGCCCAAAGCTTTCAGAAGACAGAGAGCATACAAATAAAGTAAGTAGGTAAGTACATATATACATATATAAATAGCATTTAATTGGCAATATGTGGGGAATTGCAAATGTATGCTTTTTTTTACCATACTAGCAATTGACCCCAATTTTACTTGTTAATTCATAACGATTTTCACATAATATTGTACCTTTTATCACTTTCTTTTTTCAATGTTTCTTCTAAAATTGCCAGTTCTCTTGCATAAGCTTTATGTGTAGAGCTGAAACAAGAAGTATATTTTTTAAGTTTTACAATATAGCGTGATCCAAGGCATTATAAAGTGGTATTAACACTTCACGTGACTTGATTCAGACAGACTATGTCACTATGGTATAGCTGATCTCCTGTTCATATCAATCTCTCTAATTGTAACAAAGAAAGCTAGATTCTCACAAATCTTTGTAGCTCAGGTTTAGGAGGTGAAAAAAGGCTTAGGTTACAAAATCTTAGGAACTGGACATTTAGCCCATTTTTTTCCAATGAGCATGTTAAGGAAGTTCTCCTTGATCCTGAGAGACTGTGGGAAGGAGGATGGGGGAGGAACTCAATGTATATGAGAAGAAGCAACCCAACCAGATATGGTGGTTATGAGAATAATTTGAAAAATAAGCATAGAGTTACTTTAGGAAGTGAAGGTTAACTATGTTTTTGTTTTTGAAAAATGTACCTCAATTCCAACTTTATGTTTTCGCATATTTAAGAGGTAGAAAGATCAAAAATATCTGTTAAGCCCTGTACCTGGCAAACCAAAGAAGCAAGAACCATGCATAATTGTGAAAGGCATCCAATGCTAGTCAGGGATTAAAAACATAATTTTAAAAACTTTAACTTCTGAGACAAACTTACAGTGAGTCAGTTTAGTCAGAATATTTTTCAAATTCTTCTCATAACCACCATATCTTTAACTTAGCATTTAAATCCTAGGACCTATCGTATTTTGTGGAGTATAAGACAGACCTTTTTCCCGCAAAAAAGAGGCTGAAAATCTGGGTACTTCTTATACACTGAATACAGCATTTTTTGCCTTCACCAAAATGGCCGTGCAGAGACTGTAGGAGGCTTTCAGAGAGCTCCTGGGGCTGGGGAGGGTAGAAATAAGTGAAAAACAGGCCGAAAATGACCTCCATTTTTTCATAGGACATCACGTTTCCTGACAATTTAGGTAACTATGTTAAATAAGNGTTGGATGTCAGGGTAGTTAAAATACCCCATTACTACTGTGATGTGCTTCCTACATACCTTAGCTGATTAGCAAAAAAATCAGCTATTTCCTCTGTTTGGTTGGGTGGCCTGTAGTATACACTATGGTAATGTCATTTTCTCCCCCTTTAATATTGACCCAAATTCATTCAAATAACTTTCATCATTTTTGTGCTCTATTTCTATAGAGATGTAGTTATTTCTTACATATAGTGCACTCCACCTCCTCTTATTGGGTCTATTTCTTTTAAATAATTTAAATCCCTCTAGCTGAATGTTCCATTTGTGGATTCATCCCACCAGGTTTCCATAATTGCAGTAATATCATATCTGCCCTCATTTACTTGAATTTCTAATTCACCATTTATTCCTCATACTTTGTGGATTGGTGTATAAACATTTGAGTCCATTTTGATGGACCCTATGTTTACTGTCTACATGTTGTGCCTGACTGCACCTACTTCCTTGCTCCCTGTTTGATTAGTGCACATGGTATGGCACTCACTATTACATGCTTGGTTTTGCTTGACAGCAAAGTTGATAATCTTACCCGCAGAAACATCTATGTTACATGCACTGATAACCCTATTGATTTTTGATTGCTATGGACAGAAATGTTCTATATTAATTAATTCTCTAAAATTAACATTAAAATCATAATTAATTTAACATTAAAACATTTTAAAATTATAAAAATTATCAAAATATAACAATAAGATTATACTGTGTTTCCCTCAAAATAAGACAGGGTCTTATTTTCTTTTGACCCCCTAAATAAGCGCTTGGCCTTATTTTTGGCACTCTTGCCAGCCCTAGCATCACTGGGTCTGCCGCTTTATTGTGGCCACCACTAAGAGAAGGGGCACAGTACCTAGGGTTTACAGGAGCAGCCTCTGTGACACCATTCCACATGGATGGCAGGTGCATGTGGGGCGCATGGGGCATGTTCCCCCCTCCCCTAGGAAATGGCAGGGACCAGCTGCACAGGCATTTACTGTATATACTCAAGTATAAGCCTAGTTTTTCAGCCCACTTTTTGAGCTGAAAAAAGCCGCCTCGGCTTATACT